TTGTTTTATCCAGCTGTATTTACTCAGTGCAGCTTATAACACCAACATGTCAGAAACAAACAAAAAAACAGAATTACTAAATTGGAAAACGGAAGACTCAATCAGGTGTAGCTAATCATCTTCTTTCAGTCCTTGCTAGTCAAAAACTGTGTCTGTCTTCATTTCAGGCTGCAAAGTAACAAAATGTGATTATTTTAAATGGGACTGATTCTTTTCTATACCCACTGTATATATACACTGTACACACACAATTTAATGATAGCAATGACACCAGTTTTATTATTATTATTATTGAATAAATTCATTACACAATAAATGACCATAATCGCATATTGAGTTATTTTGCATAAACAGGGGTCTGATTTTATTTTTGGCTTATTTATAATTTTGCAATATGCATAAAGATTTAATGTACACACAAACACAATCAAATAAATTATTAATATTATAATTTATGTTTCTGTGTTTGCATGTTTATTTGTGCATATGTATGTGACTCTACCAAGTAAGTCTGTTTTATTGGGGAAAAAATTATATTATAAATATACTATATTTTTTTTTTTTTGGAGTCAGTAAAACAAACCTGGTTTTGACAAAAACAGACAAAATAGTGGTGAAGGCTATCTACAACATATTTTACTTAAGAATTACAGACAGTACCTAAGCCTTCATTTGTATATTTTTTATGTAATGTTTTCTTTTTTTCCTCCAAGTGCAGAATGAGGGACCTGCTGTTTCTCACTCAGAATACAGATAAGCTCGCTGTAGAATCACTCACTCTGTTTTCCTGCGTTATCTCCACATTCACTCTCACACACAAGGACGGATGTTTTATTCCCTGAAACTGCATCTCACTGAACAGAAACCAGAGGCGAACAGACACTGGGTCGTCCTCTCTCGTCGTGCTGTGATTATTGCACTTGGCAGACCGTTAAGTGGTTGTGCATTACCACCGTTCCCACTGTGTCTGCTTCTCCTGTGACACTGCACACAGTCTGTTTAGATCTGCAGAAATAGTTTCAAATAATGTCACAGGAATATACCAGGCTCAGTAGTTAAGCTAAATTGACAGCATAATGTTTTTAACCACAAAAATGTCTTTCAAAAAGCTAGAGTCTGGTTTACAGCAGTGTTATTTTAGTATTATTTACATAATTAAATATATTTTATGCTATTATGGTTTTTATTAATATTTTGAATTAGCTTTTATTTTTATGTTTTCAGTTTATTTTATTTTGTTTCGTATGTTATTGTTTTATATTTAGAATTTAAATGTTTAAATTTTAATTTATCATTATTTTTTAAATATTCCTAATTAGGTTTAGTTTATTTTTATTTCAGTTTAAATTTTATATTTATTTCCAGTTAATAATTTTAGTGCATGAACTTGAGCAAGATTTGTCATTTTTGTTCAGTTTCGTTTTTCATCTGATATTTAAAATGTAGTTTATTGTACTTTATTTAAATTAACAAATGTTTTTAATAGTTTTAGTTGATAATAACTCTGATTTACAGAGAGACATACAATATAGGTGAATGGAAGTTAGTGTTAAAATACAGTATTAGTAGTACAGCCACAAAATCGAAACAATATTCATGTTTTACTGTGAAATCACTTCATAACCTAAATTATATCCAATTTTACAACTTGACAAAAGGATGCCATAAACAAAACAATAAAGGTATGTTGAAATGATGAGAACGACTTTATGGCTCAAAAAATACCTACGTTTTAAATGCTTTTATAAAATTATAAACGGCACATTGCTGCTTTTGAATCCTTTAGAAATCAGCCCCATTCACTTCCACTTTAAATGCTTTACTGTAACCTCAATTTTTGTCCACTCTGGCAAAAGGGATGAGTGAAAATTAATCCATGGTTATCAACATTACAATTACAAAGAGTTTCCGGGAGGTGAAAAGGAGCTGGTGGTAGTAATGCACTTGGGTTTCTCTGAGGTGAGGTGATTTCTTTTCATTAGTTTCAGTCAGAGCAAGAAAATGTTTGTTTATCATGTGCATGGTATTAATTGTGTACTTTAATGCTTTGCTCCTGAGATTTACTACAAAATTGATCATTATATGTGACCCTGGACCACAAAACCAGTCTTAAGTCGCTGGGGTATATTTGTAGCAATAGCCAAAAATACATTGTATGGGTCAAAATTATCCATTTTCCAAAAATACGGTCATTAATCCATATGGAACAGAACCCAAACAGTAGCCATAAATGTTTCAAGAGAGCTTTTTTTTGTACTTGTCACTGCATGTATCACTTGCATCAAACCTTTTTTCAAACCATGGGTCAGCAGTTTGATCCATTATATGTTGCTTCATAAAAGCCTAAAAAATTGTTTTCCAACATGTTTTCAGCTTAGTTTTGTTTGTGATTTGAGGTAAATAATAGACTCTGATCTGAAACCCTGCTTGCAGCTACACTATCCGTTGTGGTGTTAGTTTTTAGGAAAAGAATAAATGCACTGGTACATTTTAAGACACTTCCAAATATAAGTTTTAAAGAAATTAATTGTAATTAATTTTATTCAGCATTGATGCATTAAATTGATCAGAGACAGTAAAGATGTATAATATTTCAGAAGATTTTTATTTCAAATAAATGCTGTACTTTTGAAGTTTAAAAAAAAAACATAAAAATATATTACAAAAATATTAGGCAGAGCAACATTGATAATAATCAGAAATGTTTCCTGAGCAGCAAATCTGCATATTAGAATGATTTCTGAAGGATCATGTGACACTGAAGACTGGAGTAATGATGCTGAAAATTCAGCTTTGATCACAGGAATAAATTACATTATAATAGAAAACTGTTTTATTAATATTTCACAATATGATTCGTTTACTGTATTTTTGATCAAATAAATGTAGCCTTGGTGAGAATAAGAGACACGTGCTTCTGCTGTGATATCATCTAGTTCAGATCCCCTTCAAGAACACTGACCATGAATCTGTTTAGTTGTTTTATGTGGGGTACTAGTTTTATCAGCTGTTGGTTTAGTGCTATGAAGATTTACTACACATGCTTCTTTATTTTTAATGCATGAACGTCATGAAAACAACCCAAAATCAAGAGGAAAATAATTTAAAAAATGTTTTGTATAAATTTTATAAAATAATGTCATGTTGTGTGTGTGTGTGTATATATATATTTTTATATATATATATTACATTTTATAATAATTTAAAGTTTATATATTTATAATATAATATTTATTTGATAAGTATTATTACCATTTTTGTTGTTGTTATATGTTTATATATATCCTTATTTTTTAGATTTGATAAATTTTTACATTTATTTTTTATGAATTTTGTAAAAAAAAATCTATTCTATATTCATACATTTGAGATTAAAAAAATATCGGTATCGGTTGATATTGGTCAATGCATTGGATTGTGTCATTTCCCCTATTTTTATTTTATTTATTAATTTTTGTTATTATTTTATTTTATTTATTTGTTTTTATTTTATTTTATTTGTTGTTTTTACATTTATTTTTATGATATGTCTTTGTTTCTTTTGTAGAAAAATGACTTGTATCTGTTTTTGACAGGGTTTGCATGATTCACTGTAATGTTGTTTCTGAAGATGCTTTTTAAATGGCAGCTTATGGATCCCATTTAAATCCAGGACCACATACTCATCAGTCTGTGCACCTGGCATCTTTACTTCAAATATTTTTGCTCTGTAAGATCAGTTTCAGTTCAGGGTTTTTTATATGCACCTATTCTACTCTCCAACAACTTTATAAAATTAAATAGGTTAAACGTGTTGTTTTGTGTCCACACTGGCAACATTTCTTTGCTTTGATGTTCGTCTTATCGAGGGCAGCTGAAGGATGATGCATTACTGTCAAACCATTGTTAGAGCGTTGTATGTGAATACACATTGATTTTTGTCTGTCTGACTATGTTGTTGTCGTCCCCTGACAGTTGCTAATTGCATTTTCATGCTCTATGAGTCACTCAGCAGTCGTTTACTGTGCTAGGTTAGAGACTGTGCTTATCGACAGTTAGCTCTAACTCAGCCAGAATGAGGAGAAACAGACAGGCTGCTGAAATAATGAATATTGAAACTAAAGGTTTGAGAGGTCACAAGGCATTCTGTTTATCTGCTTGAATAATTAAGAGACTTTATTGTTTTGTCATCATTGCTGATACTGTATTGTGTATTTCAGTATGATAGGAACTGTAATTCCATATAAACACAACAGCATCTTTAATTGTTTAACTTTTATTTATAATGCTGTTTTCTGGCATTTGTGTGAGTATGTGGTTTTGTTTGTTTATTTAATTTGTAAAACAAACGTGTTTGCATTGGAAGAGATGTAATACTCTGGCATATAACCAAAGCTGTGTTTGTTTGTTTAATCTGTTTTTATGTTGATCTTTTATGATATAAAAAAAAGTATATTCTATTTCATAAATTTGGGATTTAAAAAAAAAAAAGTGTATCGGTATCGGTTGATATTGGACAGTGTATTGGATTGTCATTTCTCCTATTTTTTTATTTAATAAGTATTTACATTTATTTTTATGATATTTGTAAATTAAATCGGTCTATTCTATTTCATAAATTTGGGATTTTACAAAATGTATGAGTATTGGTTGATATTGGAAAGTGCATTGGATTTTGTCATTTCCCCTATTTTATTATTATTATTATATATTTTTTTTATTCTATTTTATTAATTTGGAATTTTAAAAACGTGTCAGTATTGGTTGATATTGGACAATTTAATTTAATTATTTTATTTTATAATAATATTTTATTATTCATTTTATTATTATATTTATTCTCTTTTTTATCGTTGTTTTTACCTCCATTTACTGGCAGTAATAAAGCTTTATTGACACAATTAACAATTACAATTCTCAGAGCGTAAGCTTCAGTATTGGAAGTCATACAGAATTAATAAGGAGAAGGAAATGAAGGGAAAATTGAAAGACTATAAATTCCCTCTCTCTTTCTTTTACAGGACACAGAGATTGCTGCAGACTGCAACCATGTAAGTACTCAAAAAGGCCTGCCTTTAATAATAATCATCATCAGCGTGCTTCATCATCTTCACAGCTCCACACATCTTTTAAGGTGATGTTCTCTGTTTACAAGACCCTCTGTGCGCACTCCATTCTTTCAGATCGATTCTTTGTAGGTTTGCGAGAGAATGCATCAGTAGGATTTAGAGACCAGTAACATCAGCAATTAATTTGGAAAGAATAATGGCCTGATCACCATCTAATGATGGCTGCAGCCCGCAATTAATTTGGTGGGGTCCCAAGAGAGGTATCTGTTTCTGATCTCCTTCTCTAACATTCGTGGCTTTGATGTTCTCATTAAGGCCTCAGTGCGAGACCTGGTCCACAAATCAGAGACGAAGAAAATTTAGGCGTATGATTCAGGCCTGAGTCACCAATAATTATGATAAAGAAATTATTCTTGCTTTACTTGCTTACATTTATCAGCGCTTTTAATCAGTGTCACTGTTAATGTGCAATTATATTACAGAGAGGTTTTGAGCTGTGGAGCGTGATACAGGAACTACAAGGCCATTTACTTCAACTGACACCTATTTGTTTTGAAGAGAACGCTTCATTTTTCTCTCTGAAGTGAAATCAGTTGCTTTCTATTGAGCAGTTACTTCTTGCTCAAACCATAAAACGAACAAAGCATCTCTTCTTTTTAACTGCATTGCCAGGCTTGACCTTGGTAAACTCCACGACTCAACAAAACTAGAGGCTCTTTTGAAAGCACTGACTTGAAGGAATAGTTCACTTGAAAATTAAGATTGTCATTAATTATGTCATTCCAAACCTGTAAAACGTTTTTTTTTCAAAACACGAAAGGGAGAAATTGGGGACTAGACCGCTAATATTTTCAGTGCAGTTATAACCAATACGAACTGAAGCCTTCAAGCTTCAAAAAGTCATGCATATGCCTAGTGTGCTCTGTTTCAAGTCTTCTGAAGTCATACAATAGCTTTGTGTGAAAAATAGATTGAAATTTACGTCTTTATTTGCTGATAATCATTCCTTACTGTGAGTTGAAACAGTCTGATTCATAAATGAACCATTCATACCTGTGAACTGAATCAAAAGATTCATTGAAAAGATGAATGAATTCATAAACATCAAAGTCACAGTCATATTTCTAATAATGTTGCCTTTCTTTTTTCCAGCTGTTGTGGAACTACAAGTTGAATTTGACCACAGATCCGAAGTTTGAGTCCGTGGCGCTGGAAGTGTGTACGAGCACCATGTTAGAGGTCAGTTTCTGCTATTGTTTTGCTGAGTCAATTTACTTATGGTCCTTTGCCCTTCAATTCCCGAACAGTTCAAGCATGCGTTCAACTCGTGTGTACATAAATGTGTTGTGATTTCAGTTAGGGCGGCACAATATTTTAAAATACAGTTGAAATTGAGGTATGATTAGTGCTGTAATTCATTAAAGGGGTCATATGATGCGATTTAAATTTTGCTTCAATTCCCGAACAGTTCAAGCATGCGTTCAACTCGTGTGTACATAAATGTGTTGTGATTTCAGGTAGGGCGGCACAATATTTTAAAATACAGTTGAAATTGAGGTATGACTTAGTGCTGTAATTCATTAAAGGGGTCATATGATGCGATTTAAATTTTTCCTTTCTTACCTTAAACCGCATAAACACATTTCATTACACCAAATACACAAAATAATGTTTTTTTTAGCAACATCATATGACCCCTTTAAATATATGTGCTGCAGAATTCAGAGTGATTTCAGTTCATATTTTAGGTATTTATTTCAGCGATTCAAAGTAGCTTGGTTCATTTACTGTGAATTGACATACTGAAAGACTGTTATTGTGAGCCGTGCGTGTGTAAATGAAGACCGTGACGCACTTTGTTTTGAAATATACAGAGACAAAGATTGTACTTATATGGCAGCAAATAACCAAATTAAAAGCTTGATGGTTTAAACTATGCTTTAAACTTTTGGAAATTATTTTTATTAAATCTTTTTTTTTAATTATTACTATTTTCAAGTACCATAGTGTTATTACAATATATTTATTAGTTTACCGTTTTTACTTAATAATAATCAGCACAATAAAAAAATCATAATTATTATTTTATAGTCATAAACAGTCAAAAGCAATGGGAATGTGGGCAATGAAAACTTCAGTAGAATGAGAATTTTCTTTAAAACTCTGTTCACTTTATGGTTGCTAAAATAGGTTTGAGTTGGTTCTTGTACAGAGTATACCTAACTATGAACATTCACATTTTCCAAGTTTTTTCAAAATCTTTGAGCCCTAAAAAGAGGGTTCACACTCAGAATTCACACTTCAGAGTTTTTATTTCATGTTATTATTTTCTATACACACTCCCAAAAAATCCCCCCAGTCATTTTAGAATGATTAATTCAGATATATCTATTGGTGGAAATTCCTGTATTTTTTTTCATATTGCAATATATATTACAGAAAAAATGCCTTTCCCCCCCAATATCCTGCAGCCCTAATTTCAATGCAGATGAACCGACATCTACATTTGTAATGCAGTGTGATTTTATGTTTGACTGCACTCTGAGCTGCCATAATGTAATTCAAATGAATCTCAATAGACAAAAGTTTCCCACTAACCTCTTCACACACGTGTGTGTGTGTGTGTGTGTGTGTGTGTGTTTTGATGCACATTTGTGGTTGAATACACAATTTAATTACCATTAGTGAAATTGCCTTGATATTAAATAAGGAATGTAAATTCTTCAACTTCATGTCTGTAGCATTGATCCTTGACTGCTCCATCTCACGGTTAATGAAAGGAGCCTTAATCTGTTTCTCAGCTGAAGGAGTGTGCAGATGAGGAGCGGGGGAAAGGCTATCTGATGCCCTGCCTGGTGGACCACCGCGCCAACATCACAGAACGCCAGTGTCATCAGTACATCACCAAGATGACCAGCATCATCTTCAGCGACTATCGGCTCATCTGCGGCTTCATGGACAAATGCAGAGAAGACATCAACACCCTGCAGTGTGGAAGCATAGCTGTCGGAGAAAAAGTATGCTTGCTTTCCAATAATAGCTGTGAACACTTTGACTGCTTACCCACTTATAACCGCAAAGCGCTACCCAGGTGGGAGAGGGCAGAGTGTACAAATGCCTGTTCAACCATAAATTTGAGGAAGCAATGTCGGAAAAGGTGCGGCACATCTATAGTTACCAATACATGGAATTGAATACCACAGATTATGGGAAATAAACTGAAATTTAAGTTTTTTGTTTCTCAACCAAATCCGTGCAACAATATGTGCATAAAATGTCAGTGTGGGAGGAAAGTGTCTGAACCAAAGTCATAGTCTAGAGAGGAACCCACAGGAATGCTGGTGGTCAGTTTAGTGTATGTGTTTGTCCTGTCTGAGTGTCTGTGTACTTAATAAGCATCTCTGTCCACAGTGCAGAAACGCCCTGACCACTCGGCAAAAGCTCATTGCTCAAGATTATAAAGTCAGTTACTCCCTCGCGAAGGCCTGTAAGGCCGACCTACGCAAATACCGTTGTAACCCGGACACCAGCATGCCTCGCGCCCGAGAGGCCAGGCTCTCCTTCCTCCTCCTCTGCCTGGAGTCTGCTATTCACAGAGGTCTGTTAATATCATACTACAGTTGTAGTCTGATATTGGCCAATAATATCTTTTTATTTTTCAGTATTCTTTGATATTGGATATTTCATTGTGCGTGTTAATTTTTAATTCTAAACTCATTATTATCATTTATGTTATCATACAGTTATTATTAATTTTTACATTTAGATTAGTACCATATATACAATATATATATATATATATATATATATATAGTACCAAATATATATAAAAAAAAATTTATTTATTATAATTTTTCAGTATTGTTTGACAATGGATATTTAATTGTGCATATTTTTTATTCATATTATTATTATTATTCATGTTATTATCATATGATTATTATTCATATTTACATTTAGAATAATACAATATCGGTTATCCGCTAATATTAAAGATTTTATTTTTTGTTTTTCAGTATTGTTTGATATTGGATATTTCATTGTGCATGTTAATTTTTTATTTGATTTTGATTATTATTTATTATTATTCATGTTATTATCATATGATTATAATTCATATTTACATTTAGAATAGTACAATATCGGTTATGGGCCAATATTAAATATTTGTTTTGTTTTTTCAGTGTTTGGTATTGGATATTTAATTGTGCATTTTTTATTTTACTTTGATTATTACTAATTTATTATTATTCATATTATTATTATTGTCATATGATCACTGTTCATATTTTTACATTTAAATTAGTACCATATCGGTTATAGGCAAATACTAAAGATTTTATTTTTTATTTTTCAGTATTCAGTATTTGATATTGGGTTTTTAATTGTGTTATTTTGTCTTTGATTATTATTCATTATTATTATTATTACCATATGATTATTATTCATATTTACATTTAGACTAGTACCATATTAGTAGAAGAACTAAATTCACTTACAGTATTAAAACAATTGTTTAATTGTTATTGTACTTTTTTTTTTAATTAGACAAAATGGTATGGAAATTTAATAACAAAAATTAATAAATAATAATCAGCAGCATAGGCCAGGATATGAAACTATAAATTATAAATCTAAAGTAATTAAATATCTAGTGAATATTATACAAATACTTTTGAATTTTTTTTTTAACACGAAATGCAGTATACTGTATATTCTGTGCAGTAAATAACGCGCTGATGTTCTGTTCCAGCCATAGTCTTTGCTTTCATTCATGCATGTTCCCCTGTTCAGGGCTGTTTATTGATTTGCTGCAACCTAATAAGTTTGTTCATTGTTACGTTCCTTCCCGTGGGTTTTACTGCTGTCATCTCAGGCCGTACGGTGACCGGAGACTGTCAGGGTGAGATGCTGGACTACAGACACATGCTAATGGAGGATTTCTCTCTGAGCCCTGAGATTGTGTTGCATTGTCGAGGAGAGATCGAGGCGCACTGCTCAGGACTGCACCGCAAGGGACGAACCCTCCACTGCCTCATGAGAGTCACCCGCGGGGACAAGGGCACAGTGGACAGCCTCTGTCAGACAGCTGTAAGAACCGTTGGGATTGTGAGAAAGAGTATTGCATATTTAATTCGTTTGTACTTTTTAAAAATAAGTTTCATAGTTTAAATAAGTTTTTGTGCCACATTCATTTGATCAAAAATACAGTAAAAACAGTAATATTGTGAAATATTATTGCAATTTAAAATAACTGTTTTCTATTTTAATATATTTTAAAATGTAATTTATTTCTGTGATGCAAAGCTGAATTTTCAGCATCATTACTCCAGTCTTCAGTGTCACATGATCCTTCAGAAATCATTCAAATATGCTAAATTTGTTGCTCAAGAAACATTTATAATTATTATAAATATTGAAAACTGTTGTGCTGCTGTAATATGTGTCCTTGCTGAATAAAAATATTGATTTCTTTCAAATTTGACCCCAAACAAAATATTTCTGCTTTCTCAGAAATATTTTTTTAATCTGCTTATATGACATCCTTTTATATTGTGGCATAGAAACATTTTCAGCTGCGACTTATCTCCTGATAAAATTATGATTTGTCTCTTGTAGCTCCAGACTCTTATCCAGTCAGCAGACCCCGGCGCTGATTACCGGATTGACCGCGCTTTGAATGAAGCCTGTGAGTCTGTGATCCAGACGGCCTGCAAACACATCCGCAGCGGAGACCCTATGTGAGTCATGTCAATATAGTTTAAATACTTGCATGAAAGCTTCAGTCATCAATGTTTAAGACTCCAGGGGAAACTACTAAGCAGTAGATAACTGTAGTCTGTCACAGGATTTATTTGGGTTGAGATACCATTCCTGTAGAGATTAATCCTCTTGACCTAATGCTTTGTTTAAAGCATCGATACTGTCTTTCTCTCACAGGCACCATATAAAACTGCAGTGGATTTAGAGGAGAGAGTCAAATCCAATTAAGTGTGTGTGAGGTGTAAATGTGTCACTCTTTTTCTAAGAGGAAGAAAGATGAACAGACATTCAAGCTGAAGAATACAACTAACAAAACTTTTTTGTTTTTTATTTATTTATTATTTTCATTTCATTTATTTGGTTTTATGATATTTGAAAAAGTTTTATGAAATTCTGCTTTTTTCCTCTAAATTATTTAATTAAATTTATTAGGCTACGTCCACACGACGCCAGAGCTTTCCCTATCCGATCTTTTTTTTTCCCCTCGTCTCAAGAAATATCTGCGTCCACACGAAACCACAAAACCGACACAAAACGCTGTAGTATACATGCCAGACCAGTATGTGGCGCTGTAATTCTGCCACAGAGATACACTAAAAATGGAGAAGACGACTTGGACTATGCGCATAAACCTTGTGCGCGGTATACAAACGAACATGGAACAATACATTTATTAATCTGTGTTAATGTTAGTTAATAAAAAGACAATCGTTCAGTGTTTGTTCATGTTTTTGTTGCGGTTACGTGACGTAGCGGTGTCTGACTAGGGGCGAGACGTGGGCTGATGACGTCATAGTTTCAGAAAATATACGGATTCGCTGTCCACACGAAAACGCAAGGGTGGCGTTTTCAGATTTATCCGCTCTGGGACCCGGTTTCAAAAAATATCGGTTTCACTCTCCCAAAATGCCGGATCCGTGTGGACGAAAAGGCTAAACGATACAAAATGTATGTGTATACAGCTAAACGCGTCTCCGTGTGGACGGGGCCTTAGTTTTAATTTATTTTATAATATTTGTTAAAAAATTTATAAATAAGAAAAGGCATTTATTTATTTGTTTGTTTATTTATTTATTATATTTGTTAAATAATAATAATATACTATTATATACTATATACTACTAATAATATACTATTAAACTATTTATACTACTGTATACTATAAATAATAATAATCCATCTTTAAATGTGGGATTTAAAAAAAATTTGCTGTCAATATCGGAATGTATATTAGATTGTACATGCGAATTTCCCTTATTTTTTTCACTGAAATTACATTTGACTCCGTCTAACTCTTACTTACAGTGTATTTTTAAAACACTAATAATTTAATAATACTGTTAAATGTAGTCTTTCGCAAATCTCAAAACGAATATCCGTTTTTCATACTGTTCCTTATAACGTTGTAATGCCCAGATTCACTTGTCAGCTATTTTAGTTTTTAGTGTTTTATTTATTTCAACTAAAGAGTACAGAATTTTGGCCATAACATGAAAATAATAATTGGCTTAATTGGCATATTGACTATAATTGTATTATTAAAAAATAATAATAATAATAAAATCATGATATCACGTCCAAAAAGATATAGTGAGGTTTTTGCTTATTGATGCAGTTTAGAATGCAAAATAGAAAAGTGAATGAATGAATGAATAAATTAATTATTTAAATATATATGCATAAATGTACAATGCCATTAAAACACAAATTTGCCATTGCTTTTTGAAAAGATAATTCTTGCATTCATGTTATTTGGTGGATTAAATATTTAAAAAAAAAAACATGTATTTGTGTGTTTGTAGGATTCTGTCTTGTTTAATGGAGCACCTTTACACAGAGAAGATGGTTCAGGACTGTGAACACCGTCTTCTGGAGCTGCAGTACTTCATTTCAAGAGACTGGAAGTAATCAACCTAACCTTTCCATTTCCTTTTTCCTTACCTGACCTTACCTGATGACTCAGACAAAATAAGACCCTTGAAACCCCCTCTTATGCTTTCAAGTTGATGTTTTTGAGTGTGTTTGTGTAGTAAATAACGTTCGAATCCATTCAGTCAGTCGAGGTCGTCGTTTCTACGTGTTTAATAGCTCAGCACTCGTCTGCAGTTAGATTTGCGTGCGTGAAGCGACCTTCACTGTGTGTCTCTCTCATCTGTTCAGTTTGAAAAGGTTGCCCACACAGAGCCATTATAATAAAGCCCTTAGATGGTCATAACTTCATTCACAGCCCATTAGATTCAAGTGGCTTTTAATTAGAACAGTTTGAAGCAGCAATTTGGTTTGATGGTCCATTGTGACAGACTGCTGTGCGATGCTTTTTTTTGTTACAGCCCTACAGACTGTTATTCTCTTCTCTATTGTGGACAATTTTATGTATTTATTTATTATATGTAAACCTGTTTAGCATGCTGATTCGTGCAACTAACACTAAATGCGTTTAACAGATTTGTGTACATACACTACAGTTCAACACTTCGAGGTCGGTAAGATTTAAAAAAAATGTTTTTGACAGAAGTCTCTAATGCTCACCAAGGATTCTTTTATTTGACCAAAAATACAGTAAAAAAAATTGTATTGTGAAATATTATGACAATTGTGACCCTGGACCACAAAACCAGTCATAAGGGTACATTTTTCGATTTGAGAAATTTTTAAGATTTATACATCATCTGAAAGCTGAATATATAAGCTTTCCATTGATGTATGGTTTGTTAGGATAGGACAACATTTGTACAACCGAGATACAACTATTTGAAAATCTGGAATCTGAGGGTGCAAAAAAATCAAAATATTGAGAAAATCACCTTTAAAGTTGACCAAATTAAGTTCTTAGCAATGCATATTACTAATCAAAAATTAAGTTTTAATATATTTACAGTAGGAAATTTACAAAATATCTTCATGGAACATGATCTTTACTTAATATCCTAATGATTTTTGGCATAAAAGAAAAATGTATAATTTTGACCCATACAATGTATTTTTGGCTATTGCTAAAAATATACCCAAGCGACTTAAGACTGGTTTTGTGGTCCAGGGTCACAATTTTAAATACCAGTTTTCTATTTGAATATATTTTAAAATGTAATTTATTTCTGTGATGCAAAGCTGAATTTTCAGCATCATTACTCCAGTCTTCAGTGTCACATGATCCTTCAGAAATCATTCTAATATGCTGATTTGCTGCTTAAGAAACATTTATCATTATTATTACGAATGTTGAAAACAGTCGTGTTGCTTAATATTTTTGTTGAAACCAAAACATTTAAACCAAAAAATATTTTTTTGAATGATTATTTGATGAATTGTTCAAAAGAACAGCATTTATTTGTAAAATAAATCTTTTGTAACATTATAAATTTTTTTACTGTCACTTTTGATCAATTTAATGCTTATTTGCTGAATACAAACATTAATTTCTTTAAAAAAAAAACTCTATATAGTTATGATGAAGGATTGATTTCCAGTATAGACACAATTCTACTTTCTATTTTGCATCACAAGGTCAGAGGTTGAGGTTAAAATCCGGTTAGACATGTGACTCATTTTTGTCTCCTGTGTATATTTTCCTCCAGGCTTGATCCAATCTTATACCGTAAATGTCAGAACGACGCGTCCAGACTGTGTTACACACCGGGCTGGAATGAGAGCAGTGAGCTCATGCCTCCTGGTGCTGTGTTTTCCTGCCTGTACCGCCACGCTTACCGGACAGAAGAGCAGGGCAGACGGGTGAGAAGCACAAATTTTAATTTGTCACTTCTCATTAAGACACTGAAGAGACCATCAGCATGAAGTTTGGTCCACTTTACAGTTTATTCTGACTAGGAACTACCCACTTAGATGGGTGTATAGAAAAGTCAACTGTTTGATCACTTTATATGAGACAACAAGCATGTCGAATGGAGAGCATGTGAATTTAGATCAAGCCATTGAATTTGTATGTCAAAATAGACGATTGGACTGATATTCTGTCAAAATATTCAATAGTAATGTGGAAAAAATTCTTCCAATGTGCAGCTCACCAGGGACTGTAAGGTGGAAGTCCAGAGAATTCTTCACCAGAGAGCTCTGGATGTGAAGTTGGACCCTGAGCTCCAGAAACGCTGCATGACTGACCTGGGCAAATGGTGCAGTGAGAAGACAGACACCGGACAGGTAAAAAATGAGTTTTGGGTTGAAACTCCTCAGTATTGCAGGAGTGTCAGTACATGAGGAACATTTCTAGGTCAGGGATTCAGAGTTTTTGTCTGCCTCAGGAGCTGGAGTGTCTTCAGGACCATCTTGAGGAGCTGGTGTCAAACTGCAGAGACGTGGTGGGCAACCTGACAGAACTGGAATCTGAGGTTTGTTTCCTATTCCACACCACAGCGTGTACATGAAAACATAAAGGATGAGGGCGTAAAAGAAGATAGGATCTTCTGTACCGTTTTATTTCTGTTATAGTTACTGTTTTGTTGTACTGTTTGCTGTTTATATATATTAACTTTGAAAAGTTTGGGGTCAGTAAGTAATTTTTTTAATACTTTTATTCAGCAAGGATGCATTAAACATTGATCAACAGTGACAGTAAAGACACTTACTGTATGTTACAAATTTCAATTTCAAGTAAATGCTGTTCTTTTGAAATTTATATTCATCAAAGAATCCTGAAAAAAATTTATCAAACATGAATTTGTTTTCCAAATTGATAATAGTAAATGTTTAGAATTAGAATGATTTCTGAAGGATCATGTGACACAAGAGACTGGGGTAATGGCTGCTGAAAATTCAGCTTTGCATCACAGGAATAAATTACATTTTTAATTACAGTAGAATAGAAAACAGTTCTTTTAAATTGTAATAATATTTCACAATATTTGTCTTTTTACTGTATTTTTGACTGAATAATGCAGCCTTGTTGAGCATAAGAGACTAATACTGTATTTATCTATATATATGTAAATGACTTTTTTTTCTTTCAGGAAATAGAGAAACAGAGAATGTGGTGATCACTCTTATTTGTAACTTAACTGTGTGTGAATGGAAGTGTATTTGGCAGTCTAAAACAAGACTGACAACCATATTCTGCTGCTGTGTGAATGTAGCCTATGTAGAATTAAATTATTTAAATATTTTAGGTTGGGGCAAAAAAATCCAGTCAAACTAAAGTGCTGAGTGCCAAATATGCACTCCTTAGTGAGGTGATCAAATAAATGCAGCCTTGGTGAGCAGAAGAGACTTCCTTAAATATATTAAAAGATCTTACATTTAAGATCTTAAGATTAAAATATCTTATATTTAAATATATAGAATTTTTGAATTTAGGGATTTTTTGGGAGAAATGATCTTGATTTATGGTCATTCTGTTGTGTTCACAGGACATTCAGATTGAAGCCCTGCTGATCCGAGCCTGTGAACCGGTCATCCAGAGCCACTGCCACGTTAGTACTGGCAACACACACATCGAATTATTCCCTTTATTTTTTTTTTAAACTCTGAATTCCTTATGTGGGTCTCTTTCCTCCCAGGATGTAGCTGATAATCAGATAGACACAGGGAATCTTCTGGAATGCCTGGTGCAGAACAAACATCAGAGGGAAATGAATGATAAATGTGCTGTGGGCGTCACTCATTTCCAACTGGTAAGCCAGTCACATTGTTAAATTTAACTGATGACAAGTAAAAGTTTTCCCAAATGTCATGCTGTCCCAGCAGAGAGCGTACTGAATGGTTTTGGGTTGGTTTGGGGTATTGATGGATATGTTGACCATGCTAATTATCGGCTGATATTGTGAAAATCAGATGCTACTATGATTGTTATTATAGTTAAATAAAACGAATACTGAGACTTTTCAGACGCGCACTCCAACTCTGCCTCAGCATCAGGCGCTACTCAAACAAGCGCGGAAAAGCTACAGGTGATGAGGGAGCTTGAGTAGAACAACAGTGAACTGCGGTCAGATGAGATGTTGTCAGGCCATATGTCAGTAAAAACTCATTTTTCTGTCCTGTCAGCTGTTATACTGTCATCGTAGCACGTGCTGTTCAATTGCACACACAAATGCAGTGGCGCGCACTGTACACAATTTCATATTATAGCGCAAATGAAAATGCGAGCATGCAATGTTGTGGTTATGTCGTCAGTTAAGTCATAAAGTTACCAAAAAGGTTAAAGCTGCCTTAAAACTGTGCATGTATGTAAGTATTTGTTATATATGAGTCGGATTTAAGAACATGTCTCTGAAATACAGTGGTTTTCAAAACTGTCCTGGAGCAGCAGCACTGTCTCCCTCATCTAACACACCTGATTCAACTCTCCAGCTCATTAGCAGAGAAAAGATAAAGAGTTGTGAGAAAATACGATGTGTGGCAGATCATGTTCAGCAGTGGCAGCTCTTGAAGCAGCCATAATAACCTAATAACCCAGCTGCTGTGATGTCTGTTCATCAAAGAACAAAAGAAAAAAGAGCAAATCAATCACTTTTGTAGCTTTAAGGAGTCGTCTATATTTAAAGGGGTCATATGATGCGATTTCAATTTTTCCTTTCTCTTTGGAGTGTTACAAGCTCTTGGTGCATAAAGAAGATCTGTCAAGTTGCAAAGACTAAAGTCTCAAATCCAAAGAGATATTCTTTATAAAAGTTAAGAGTCAGCCACGCCTACCATGTAGTGTTTGATAACTTAATTCAATTTCTGTATATTTTCTACTTGCTGAAGGACACAGGTAAGTATGACATTTATTATAATGAGTTTATGTGAAGATTGTTTAAGTTAATTTAAATTAGAAGTTGTATTTCCTAGAGGCATCAGTAGTATTGGTATCATTGATACTTGCCCTTTAGTCATAAAAAAAGATGCCATTAAATAAATATTAAAAATATACTGTCTTTTTGTTGTTTCTACATTAATTTGAAGATTGAATGTGAAATTATTGCAATACAAAAGTATATTTAAAAACTTAATTTGCAATTAATAGTTACTTTTTTTTATTCGATTGACTGCACTAGATTAAATATATTATTAAAAACTGTAGTAGTATGTCAATGATACTAAAATAACACTAAATTGCATTATATATTATATAAATTGAATTATTTTATATGTACTATCCAACAGTTCATGTACGCTTTGAGATATGGGATGTATTTTTTTATGTCAAGTGTATTTTTACTTGTCTACCCTTCAGGTTCAGATGAAGGACTTCCGCTTCTCCTACAAGTTCAAAATGGCCTGTAAAGAGGACGTACTCAAACTCTGTCCCAACATTAAGAAGAAGTGAGCAGCTGTTTCTTTAGGCTTTGCAACGTTCTGCATAAACTTTGTTTTGATTTTGTCATTCAATTTTGATGGTGATTTATTTGTTATATAACATCTTTTCATAGAGGCTTAAATCATCACGACTTGTTTGTGTGTCTCTTCTTATTTTGGCACTGTTGCACTCTTTCTCGCTCACACAAATCCATCCTCTTGAACCGCATATTTCTTATCCTCTGCCTCAGTGTCTCTTTCACCTTCTTCATGTGTCATCTCGTGTTTCTTCCACCTCAGGGCGGATGTGGTCATCTGTTTGAGCACCACGGTGAGGAACGACACGCTACAGGATGTGAAAGATCAGCGTGTGTCTCTCAAATGTCGGAAACAGCTGAGGGTGGAAGAGCTGGAGATGGTGAATTCACTTTACTCAAGTTAAATCACACACTTCACAGTGTTCAGACCCTTTTTCCTGTACAACAAAAGTGCACTGTAATTTATTCGATCAAGGACTTAAAAGTACCATTAAAGTTTCAGAAAACGTTTTCATATGACTCATGCGCTGTATTCCACGTCTTCTGAAGTTCAGATGTCACGCTCTCTGTCCTCTTCATTTGCAGTCAGAGGACATTCGACTGGAACCTGAGATGTATGATGCTTGTAAGAAGGATATCAACAAGTTTTGTTCCTCTGTTGCCTATGGAAACGCTCAGGTAACCGTTTACTTTGATCTTTTACTTTTATATAGAAAGCTATACCTGCAGCTGCTGCATGCAGACACATGATGAAACTTGTCCAGTTAGAGCAAGAAAATTCATATAACTAGTTTCCCAGTCATGGACCACCTGGAAATAGTAGAAAATCTTAAAAACTGAGATTTCCAGGTCATCAAAAAGTTTGTAGCAAATAACTGTGCTCTGCATAGGGGCTGGAAAAGGCAAGTCCTTTTTTGAACCACTACCATTTTTATTTACAGAAACAAAAAAAAATTTAAATTCCAGAATTTTCAGTAATTGAGTGTTCTTTATATTTTTGTTACCAATGAATTTACATGAATTTTATAGTCATTTGTAAATATGGGGATTGCTTAAAAAAATTGCTGTTCACAAATAGCAATATTGCCCCGATAAAATATCTTAGAATTTGACAAAACTACAGGTGCATCTCAATAAATTAGAATGTCGTGGAAAAGTTCATTTATTTCAGTAATTCAACTCAAATTGTGAAACTCGTGTATTAAATAAATTCAGTGCACACAGACTGAAGTAGGTTATTCATTTTAGGAATTTCCATGATTTAAAAAAAAAGATTTTATTAATTTCAATGCTGTTTCCAGGTCTAGAAATCACTTTTTTTTTAAATTCGCACACATACCCATGTTCATATATAAAAATGATAGAATTAAGAATTAGAATTAAGAAATGTCAGCTTACATTTAGATTTTTGTCTGTTCTAGCTTATTTTAAAGCTTGTTTTGTCTTATTTGTAATAATTTCATCCCATCTTGAGTTCCACTTAAATATATACACAGTTGCTTTTTTTAAATTTTATTTTACTTAATTTTAATTTTTAAATTAAAATTAAGGATTGGTACCTAAAATAGATATCTAAAATACAGAGTGATCATGAAAGACTGGAAAAGTTGTGGAAATTCATTGGTCAAATGTGGAAATCCCTGCATTACAGTCTGATAATTTAAACCACATACAAAATACAAAAATGTTGTATTGTAATACATGTTATACAAATCCGGGTGGTTTGAGGCATGTATTTGCACACATGCAAAATACATGTTATACAAAGGTAGGATAGGATTTTCCTTGCGTTTTATGGAAATACATTTTCAGTGTTTAACGCTCTCAGCTTTCTCACCCAGTCCATTAAATACCTAGCTATAAAAATTATTCGGCCATAAATCATGTTGACACAACCATGAGCACATTAACATATGATCACACATGTTTACATACAGTAATTACACTTATCCAGTAGTCGGCAAGCAGGCAGGGTCCTGTTTAGTCATGTAACAGCTTAGGTTAGCTTAAAAAATAATAATGCAATAAAATATGAATGCATTTAATAATGCACTCTGACCTACATGAAAATTCCGTAATTTTCTACCTTCAACACAATTCCAGCTTTAACTACCACCTATGAATTGCATGGAAAATGTGTAGAGCTGTCAGTTTATAGTGTTAATTTAGTGTGATTATTATTTAATTAAAAATGAATTTAATCATGTGACCTGATGCCTATACACAAGAAACCTCGATTAACCTTAACTTGACAGCGCAAGTGAAAAAATCAAATGCTGCAGCAAAGTAGCCCTGTTAACTAACTATTGGAGAAGACCTTCATCACCCGTTCGTTTTTCGTCTGTATCTGTCCTCTTCTTCTCAGATCATTGAGTGTCTCAAAGAGAACAAGAAGCAGCTTTCCCAGGTTTGTCATCAGAAGATCTTTAAGCTTCAGGAAACTGAAATGATGGATCCGGAGCTGGACTATCAGCTCATGAGAGTGTGCAAGCAGATGATCAAGGTGAGATGTTTTAGCAGGTAACTAACTTGGGGCAAGTTCTGCAGTTCCCTTTGGTCATATGCTGACATTATCTAAAGCTTTTCTGTCAAACAGAACGATCTGATGGTTATAAACACGCTCTGGATTGTCAAAGATCAATAGTAATAGCTTAAGCCCCATGTTTTAATTAACTTAAACTCAATAAGATCAACTCGGGGCCAGAGTGAAGTGGCTGATAGATCGGAGCTGATTTGGAAAAGAGTATTAAACATTGAAACCACATAACCTTGTCTTTAAAGGGGTCATATGATGCTTTTTTAAAGGTCATTATTTTGTGTATTTGGTGTAACAGAATATGTTGACAAGGATGCTTTTAACAAATACACTAATGTTGAAAAGTTTGGGATCAGTACGATTTTTGTTTTGAAAGAAATTAATACATTTATTCAGCAAGGACACATAAAGTTGATCAAAAGTGACAGTAAAGACTTTTATGATGTTACGAAAGATGTCTAGTTCAAATAAATACTGGTCTTATTGTATTATTATTGTTGTTATTATTAATCAAATCAGCATATTAGAATGATTTCTGAAGGATCGTGTGACACTGAATACTGGAGTAATGATGCTGAAAATTCAGCTTTGTCATCACAAGAATACATTTCAATTTTAAATATATTCAAATAAAAGAAACCGTAATTTTAGGTTGTAATAGCATTTATCAATATCAGTAGCAAATGCAACATTGGTGTGCAAGAAACATGAAAAAAAATTTACCGACCCCAAACTTTTGAGCATTAGTGTAGTTTAAGAAAGGAATATTTTTACATTGAGCAGTTTTATGCCACATTACGTCACTAAAGAGCAGTGGTGTGATGTAGCGGTAAAAGCTGAAGGCTTATAATCGCAAAATTGCCAAAATGACCGAGCCATTAGCTATCACTATTTTGCCCTTGAGTACAGACATTGTAGAGGGATTGAATCTGCCTTATTTGCAAGTCATTTTGGCTGAAGGCACATGCTAAATGACCGTATACTTGCTTTCCAACGAGTCTGTAAGCTTCCATATTGTTTCCCGTAGATCTGTGCAGTCAGTAGTTAAGCCTGTTGCTCCTTTTCTCTGTCTTTCTCAACCTATTTGTCCTTGGTTTAGCGTTTTTGCACAGAGTCGGATGCTAAGAACGTGCTACAGTGTCTAAAACTGAACAAGAACAGCGAGCTAATGGATCCCAAGTGTAAGCAGATGATCACCAAGAGACAAATCACTCAGAACACAGGTGAAGACCAAACACATCTGCACCAATAAATGCCTTCATTTCCACTTAACTAGTTGGTTAATTTGGGGCTTTGTCATCTACAGCTCTCTTTTTGGTTCTGAAACTCTTCCTCAAGTTCTGTTTTAAGGCTAGTCTTTACCTCCTGGCGTTGAATCTAACATTTTTAATTGTCATTGTTGTCATTTCTTTGCTGTATTGGTGTTTTCAGACTACAGATTGAACCCAGTGTTGAGGAAGGCTTGTAAAGCAGACATTCCCAAGTTCTGTCAAAGCATTCTCGGCAAAGCCAGTGACGCCAACGAACTTGAGGGTCAAGTCATATCCTGCCTTTTCCCGTAGATCTGTGCAGTCACTAGTTAAGCCTGTTGCTCCTTTTCTCTGTCTTTCTCAACCTATTTGTCCTTGGTTTAGCGTTTTTGCACAGAGTCAGATGCTAAGAACGTGCTACAGTGTCTAAAACTGAACAAGAACAGCGAGCTAATGGATCCCAAGTGTAAGCAGATGATCACCAAGAGACAAATCACTCAGAACACAGGTGAAGACCAAACACATCTGCACCAATAAATGCCTTCATTTCCACTTAACTAGTTGGTTAATTTGGGGCTTTGTCATCTACAGCTCTCTTTTTGGTTCTGAAACTCTTCCTCAAGTTCTGTTTTAAGGCTAGTCTTTACCTCCTGGCGTTGAATCTAACATTTTTAATTGTCATTGTTGTCATTTCTTTGCTGTATTGGTGTTTTCAGACTACAGATTGAACCCAGTGTTGAGGAAGGCTTGTAAAGCAGACATTCCCAAGTTCTGTCAAAGCATTCTCGGCAAAGCCAGTGACGCCAACGAACTTGAGGGTCAAGTCATATCCTGCCTCAAACTCAAGTATGCAGACCAGGTATGCATGTCACTGAATATTAGCAACGAATAAGTAGGGGATAATAAAAGTTATAGTCTTGTATCATATTGAAGAGGTTTATGTTGCGATAATGACCATCTGACTGACATTATCCTGCTTATTGTACTACTTACCTATATCAGTGTTGTTATTGTTAAAATTGCTGTTGGTAATTGAAATAAAACTGAACTAAACTCAAACGGAAATTAGAAGTGTTTCCTAAATGTTGTGCAAAAATTCACTAAAACTGAATTAAAAATAAAGTTATACAGAAATAATAATACTATTTTCAGCTTTAATGGAAATAAAGTTAATATAAATATTATATGAAAAATATAAACTTACAAAATTTTAACAATTTAAAATTATAAATGTTCACTAAATGGTTTGCTAAAATTACTAATGATTGAAAAAATAGTTTAGTTAAAAATACCTCAAATAAAATAAATTAAAGCTATACAGAAATATTTAGAAAATTAATAAAATGTCCAAAGCACATCAAATTAAAATGAAAACTGAACATATAAAAATAAAAGCTAATTCAAAATATGAATAAATAAACATATTAATATTAAATATTAATAAATAATACTAAAGTAACACTGACTTTTATAGATATGAAGTATTGATTAGTAAATCAACATAATGTTATTTTTAGCCAAGTATTCTTAAACACATGCTGGTCTTGTAGGACATAGAAGTTCTTTTATTAGCATTTGAGTGGGAGTGTTGTGATGTGGAAATGCAGACCGTTGAACAGTTTTAAACCGGTTAATAATTGTCACTGTTCCCAGCGGTTGTCTGGAGACTGTGAGGATCAGATTCGAGTGATTCTTCAGGAGTCAGCGCTCGACTACCGGCTCGATCCGCAGCTCCAGGTTCACTGCAGTAATGAGGTGAGTGGACACACAGGCTCTGAGCGTCTTTACGTGTATGTCTGCAGAGGTCACTGCAGCATCTGAATCGAAATGAAAACACACCAGTGACTGATTTAAAGCACTCTTCGTGGGTAGTTTATTCTATTTGATATAGAATAAACAGGGTAGTTTATTTTCTGTTTATTCTAAATGATTTCCTCAGAGTTTGACTGTTTTGCTATTGCAGGGGATTTTAATATTCACATAGATAATGCAGAAAACAAAACTACAAAAGAAATTATGACTGTTTTAAACACTTTTGACCTGATTCATTATGTGCATGAACCCACACACAATCGTGGACATACTCTAGATTTAATCATCAGTAGAGGTCTAAACATTCCATCCATTGTTATTAAGGACGTAGCACTATCTGATCACTTCTGTATTGTCTTTGATATATTGATCTCTGCTACCACTGAATCTAGATCTGTCTCTGTCAGAAAGAGATGCATTAACGAAAACACTAGTGTGCTATTTATGGAAGCTATATCTTTAACACCAAGCATTTCTGCCTTGCCTTGCCTATTTAAATATTCATATTTTTCATTACTGAATTAAATATAATGGACATTTCCTTTGACTCCATCTGTCAGCTCATTGCAGTGCATTTTGGGATTGGCGCTATCTACTAAGGATACATCTGATTTGAACATTGAACTTGAAATCTGGCTGATATAAATCAGTTTAATTTTGCTGCCTACTGTTTTAATGATGCCTCAAATGCTGTCTAGATACAGAGCTTGCGAGTGTTTGGAACGGAGCCCATGGCCTTCAACACACAGCATCTTTATGAGATCTAACAGTCTGTTTAAACATGTCAGGACACTCATTTGGAGCTGTACAGAGAGAGAGAGGGGGCGGCTGAGAATTGCTTTAAAAGATCATCCAAACAATGTTGAAAAGAACTGATATTTTTTCTCTCTGTTCCTAAAGAGATTCTCTGAGTGAGAAAGAAATGTCCAACTGCCTCATGAATGACTAATCTACAGTAATATTTCAGTCCCGTTTCTGAGGGGTTGGAAGAAATTCATCTGTAATGTCACAGGATGGGAACTAGATTTCCAATTCAAAATAGTCATGTTTAGCATCAGATATTTTTATCAATATAGTTGGGTCGGATTTTTTAAAAAGTCTCTTATGCTCATTGAGGCTGCATTTATTTGATCAAAATACAGTAAAAATAGTAATATTGTGAAATATTATTACAATTTAAAACAACTGTTTTCTATTTGAATATATTTTCAAATGTAATTTATTCCTGTGATGCAAAGCTGAATTTTCAGCATCATTACTCCAGTCTTCAGGGTCACATGATCCTTCAGAAATCATTCTAATATGCTGATTTGCTGCTCAGGAAGCATTTATTATTATTATTATTATTATCAGTGTTAAAACATTTGTGCTGCATAATATGTTTTGTGTAAACAATACTTTTTTCTAAATTCTAAAAAAAAACTATTTTAAATGTAATTTGTGAAACAATATACTTTACTGTCACTTTTAATTTAACATGTTTTAGCTAAATAATAGTATTATATATATATATATATATATTTGGTTATGTACTATTGGGTACAAATAGTTTTTATTTATTCATTAATTGGTCATTTAATTGAATATTAATATAATTAATTGAAATCGGTCCTTGTGTCTATGGTACAGGAAACTGCAGAATGACAGTACCTTATTAGGATTGTATGTGGAAATGACAGTCCAAATTAGTTATTATGTGACGAGAATACGCTCTTACCAATGCACTAGGCTTAGATGTCTTATTGTTATTAATGAATGATTTTTCAAGCTGTTGTGGAGAGTGCAGAGAGTGTTGCAGAATTATATGGCTTGTTTGTAATGCTATAAGACAGGAACAGGGACCCTCCTCCTGCAGCCTGTCTGAGGAAAGCCCTTTATTTATGATCTCCATGAGCCATAGGCTCTCAGAGAGAAATCAAGCTGGAATGGTGAGAAATGGGTCTCTTAATTGGGTCAGAAAAGAAAATTGACTTTGATCTCTGGGTTATATTCTGCTGACGGGAGGCCACATGAACACAGACAAAGACAAGGCAGACTTTTTAAAAAGAAAAAGGAGATTTTATATCTTTAGTCACTTCGTAACATGTCTGTTTGTGTGTGTGTGTTAGATCCCGCGGCTGTGTGCAGAGGAAGCTGCCGCACAGGAACAGACGGGTCAAGTGGAGGAGTGTCTGAAGAACAACCTTCTGAAAATTAAACCGGAGGAGTGCAAGACGGTACAGAACACATCCTCAGACATGCTTCATCTGCTACACGCTGCTTTCCTCTGCATCTGTTGCTATGGAAACACCATCAGTGTTTTTAAACCCACATCTGCTTTTCTGATGAGAGGAGATTCCCACACTAGACACATGGGTGGTTGCATGGTTGCTTCTGTCACCAGAACAAATTCCTTGTATGTGCAAACATACTTGGCAATAAAGCTCTTTCATATTAGAATGATATCTGAAGGATCATGTGACACTGAAGGCTGGCGTTATGATGCTGAAAATTCGGCTTTGCATCACAGGAATAAATTACATTTTACAATATATTCAAATAGAAAACAAATGGTTTTTTTTAAATGGTAATTATATTTCACAATATTACAGTTTTTTCTGTATTTTTTATCAAATAAATGCAGTTTTGGTGATTATTTCAAAATCATTAAAAAAAAATCTTACTGCCTTTTGAACTGTAGTGTAATTTTTTAAACGTCCAGTTAAACAAAACAATCATCATTTAGTTTTTCACAATACTTTCCTTCATCCACTCTTAAAAAGATAAGTCTTTTTTGCTGCTGTCTCTTTAAGAAACACCATCGCATGTGAAATAAGCAACAGTCCACTCACACACGGCTATATTAATTTGACACGTACAGGTTTAGTGCCCACATTTCGCTCTTTCATTTCATCCTCTTCTCCACGTGTAGGAGGTGTTGAACATGCTCAAAGAAAGCAAAGCAGATATATTCGTGGATCCTGTCTTGCACACGGCCTGTGCTCTGGATTTGAAACACCACTGTGCAGCCATCAACCCTGGAAGAGGCAGACGTGAGTGATTTCTTTTTTCTTTTTTTTTTGCATATTACACAATTCATTCACACTTTTAAAGATGCTATGAGAACAAAACTGTCAATTTTCTTTTTTTATTAAATATCTTGCTCCACATAGCTGTATATTAAACCTCAAATATCTTATGATTGTCGCTTCTTACATTATTTCTTACATTATTTCTCACTGAATGTTAATGCATTGTAAATACCATTTTGTGTTGTTTAATTCATGATGCCCGGTTAAAGTATCTGGGTTGAGGGTCTATTTGAGAGGCTAATGGAACGTTATGGCACTGACAGATGGTGTGATTACGGAGGTTGTTTTTTTTTCTCTTCTTTTTAACTCTGTAATTTGGAGCTCCTGACTCCCTCTGTTTGAAATTCTTTCCCAGAAATGTCCTGTTTGATGGAAGCTCTGCAGGACATGCAGGTGCGTCTACAGCCTGAATGTAAGAGAAGATTACAGGACCGCATCGACATGTGGAGCTATGCAGCGAAGGTCAGTGCACACAAACACAAACACATTGAACAAACTGTCCAGATGGACAAATAAATATTTTTTTCTTAAATATATTTACTACATACAAGCCAAACCTCTAGCTGTAAAATATGCCTTTTTGCTTTAAAATTATTATTATTATTATTAATTTTATTATTAAAGTAACAAAAATTATTATATTAAAAATAAAGTTGTCTTCTAAAGTTGTCTAATAATAATAATAATAATAATAATAATTCAATAAGAAGAAAAATAAGAAATTATAGTAAAATAAATTGTTATTTTATTATTAAAAATGTTATACTTTAAATTTTTTATTATTATATTTATGAACAACATTCATAAATATTAATGTTATGTTAGGTTTAGCCAAATTCTAGGGACAAATGAGTTCTAGTATGTGACTTGATTTCCTAGGTGGCACCAGCTGAAGGTTTCTCGGACCTCGCTGTGCAAGTCATGACGTCACCTTCGAAGAACTACATCCTGTTCATGATTGCGCTGGCCGTGTCCCTCCTCTTCCTCGTGGGGCTGCTGTGTGGCCGCATCACCAAACGTGTGACCAGAGAGCTGAAAGACAGGTAGAGCGAGGATCATTTCCTACTTATACCTGCGCAGACTTTGGGAGCTGCAGTGGACCTTCTGTGGGCCGGTGCCATGTTAGGAGCCCTCTCTAGCCCACCCTGCCACTGAATCCCACCTCAATCCAAACATACAACCTTTCCTGTTTGATGGAAGCTCTGCAGGACATGCAGGTGCGTCTACAGCCTGAATGTAAGAGAAGATTACAGGACCGCATAGACATGTGGAGCTATGCAGCGAAGGCCAGTGCACACAAACACAAACACATTGAACAAACTGTCCAGATGGACAAATAAATATTTTTTTCTTAAATATATTTACTACATACAAGCCAAACCTCTAGCTGTAAAATATGCCTTTTTGCTTTAAAATTATTATTATTATTATTAATTTTATTATTAAAGTAACAAAAATTATTATATTAAAAATAAAGTTGTCTTCCTTCGTTGTCTAATAATAATAATAATAATAATAATAATTCAATAAGAAGAAAAATAAGAAATTCCTTCGAAGAACTACATCCTGTTCATGATTGCGCTGGCCGTGTCCCTCCTCTTCCTCGTGGGGCTGCTGTGTGGCCGCATCACCAAACGTGTGACCAGAGAGCTGAAAGACAGGTAGAGCGAGGATCATTTCCTACTTATACCTGCGCAGACTTTGGGAGCTGCAGTGGACCTTCTGTGGGCCGGTGCCATGTTAGGAGCCCTCTCTAGCCCACCCTGCCACTGAATCCCACCTCAATCCAAACATACAACCTTTGAAATGCTTCTCAGACAGGATCAAGATCGTTTTGGGACTTTATGCCTTGAGTATATGTTTTTTGTTTTTATTTTGAGAGTGACAGCCTTACTTCTTGACTGTAATATGGTCATGTGTCAATGCAGTATTTTTATCGTTGTGTCTTTTTCAATTTTTTGAGAATGACGGGGCTTTAATCAGCAGCTTACATGAAAACAAGCCATCTTTATATTTTGTTTTTCACTTCAGTTTTTTTTTTTTTATCTTTAAATCACAAAGTGGAATTCACTTTGAGTGGGATTCATTTCTGGGTGTCTCCTAAATGTTTTGGCACTGGGGAGGGAAGATGGTTTTTCTAGTCCAGTATGATGATCCTGACACATGAAACGCTGGTTTTTATCAGTCAAGACAAAGACATTACATTTATGATACATTAGACAGCAAGTGGTAAACTTGCAAAGATTGACATTTTAATAGACCTTTACCTTTGCTAGAAGGTTTGACGTTCATAATGGTTTGATTATCAAGGGCAAAGCCAAACTTTATAATAGTAAACACATCATTGAGTGAATCTCATGAAAACATGTCCAGGCCCTATATATATAGAGAGAGAGAGAGATGAATTTTTCATGACGTCTGCACATTTCACGTTTGACTTATTTTATAATTCCCATTATTAACACTTAGTTTTTTACTGTTTTATGTTGTTTTGATTTATTTAAATCAGTAAAGGAAGTAAGACAAATACAACAAAAGAAAATAATGTCACAAAGTCATAAAATACTTAATTTAGCAAAGTTTATTTTTATTTTGCTGGGAAATATGACAAACATGGTCTTGGACTGGTTTTGTGAGAGTCCTCTACTGATAGTTTGAGTCTGGTCTGAAGAATTATAAACATCTGGTTTGCACATTTATAATGGATTAGGCATTAAATGGTTAATATACGAAGAGTACGAAATTCAAATAGACCTGTACCTCTGTTAGAAGGTTGAATGTGAAAGATGGTTTGATTGTCCAGGGTCAAGTTTCCTGCGGACCAACGTTGTAAGGGTGAACGTGACTGTATGTCCACAGGATGATTGCACTTTTTTGATGTTTTGTTATGTTTGGCTTAAGCCTTATTTATTGTTTACAACAAATGTGCTGATCTTGGTTCCGTGTGTGTGTGAGTGTGAGTGTGAGTGTGAGTGTGAGTGTGAGTGTGAGTGTGAGTGTGAGTGTGAGTGTGTGTGTG